TACAACCTCACCATTCCTTCCCGATCTCAGGCCCACTACTATCTCGCTGGAGAGAGCGCAGGGTGCCGCGCCGCGTAGTCCCCCAACCCACTTAGCACCCTCGATTTATGTGAAATAGACGTTTTCTATGGCAGCTATTACATTTGTGCAGAGGTGGTGTACTGGCAAACGGTGCACGCAGTATCACACACGCATTCGCTGAGATTAAAGCCTGAATGCCTATCCGCACAGGTCAATCATACTTCCTTCCCCCGATTGTCGGGTAGTTGGTGCAATTCCCGTCTGGGAGGATGAAAGTAGTGAGTGGAACATTGGCTGGTCATCGCAAGACACTGTATCTTCCGAATACGCATTCAAAACGTCACGGCGATTCTGAATGGAAATCGTATGCGGTGTGCATCCTCCAGATGCCCAATGTTATAGCAACCATAGTCAAGGACGCAGTTAAATCAGTTTTTACTCCTTTATATTTCGAATTATAACAATGAAAGAGCTATTTGAGCTACAAGCTCACTTGAAATTTATTTCACTGAGATAGCCTCCTTAGAAAAAAACGGCAAACTCGAAGCACCAAAGGTACAGCAAATATTGAAGCGACCACGAAATGATAGGCGGAATAGACCACAAACTGGAACGGAATCATGCTCAACGTTGTAATGGTCTTTCACAATAAGAGAAGAAGGAGGAAGCAAGAGATACCTGTGGTCGTATGGACAGGGAGAAGCCAACAGACGACGTCACAACGAGCGTGAGCAGCGACTGCATCACCAGAGCCATGAAGGTGTTCATCCCGAACACCAATCCATAGGAAGCCGTCACAAGACCTTCCGCCAAGTTGAATCTGAAAACAAAAACGGTCCTGAATCTATGGGGGAGGGACCGATAAATTTCTCTAATCAACATTTAACAGGAGACCTTACTGTGTAATCGTGATCATCGATTCGTAGATTAATCTGTAACCGATGTAGCCACCGTACATCACAAAAAGGTTGTTCGTTTGAGAAAGGAGCAGTAGGAGGAGTCCATTCAGTGAGGAACAGACCGCCAGACACAGTTCACCCCACCGGCTCCAATCCACCCGGAGATGTTGCACAAGAAGCACAGCCGGCAGTGCTGCAATCGAGTCCCTAGCATTTTGGAAACGACAAACAAACTGTAAACAAGTGCTGGTGGTCAGATTATGATTGCGACCTTACTCACAGATCAATGGACACAAAGCCTCCGTGAGTCCATTGTATATGTCCGACGCATTCGGTGGAATCAAGGTTCCCCAAAGTGTCTGGGTGTAATTACCTATCTGAAACAGTTTGGGTAACTTCCAATGGGTATGCAACAACTTTTACATCTTTCTCAAATGTGGTGCTACCCACCTGTAAGTATCCACACGTAGCCAGTGCCCACCAAAGCGACCACTTCAACATTATTGAGTTCCCATAGATATCCTTTAGGTCCGCTATGAAAGTCTTGAAATGGAATTTCACGTAGTCTTTGTAGAACAGCTTATCGTCCGGGGGTTTCGTAATGTCTGAACCCTGGCGACAAAAAAGTTACGTAGGAGGAAAACTTTGAGTGCAACATTACCGTGATCAGCAATTATTGCGAATTATCAATACCTAAGGAATGGAATGTACCTTTCAATGACATTTTCTTTTCGTAGGCGGATTTCCATGGTACAGAAGGTAATGCTATAGCGAAAACGAGAGAAACAGAAACAGATGTAAGCGATATTATGTTCAGAGTTTGATAATTTCCCCATTTTAGGAGGATAATAAGTTGTGCGATTGCATAAGATAAGAACGATCCCAATAGGATAGCACCACGAGTTAGTGAAGTTGCTCTAAAATTGTTCGGGATTCAGCTCGAGCCAAACTGCCAATTTGGTCGAGAAATGATCAGTGCACAAAAGCGCTTTCGTTGTGGTCAATTCCAAAAAAATTGAGAAAGGATCTGCAAAAAAACTCACTTTCTGAAGTGTTCCTTCGATACCTTCACATAAATAAAAGCAAAATATGCTATTTCAGTGGCTGTAGCCCATCCGTAAAAAATTTCAAGCATCTAAAAAGTAATTTAGGTACAAGTACTACCTACCATAACGCTCTCTAGCTTGATATGGGTGTGGTGCAGTAGGAATAGAACTGTCGCGTCGCGAGACGCCGCGCGCGAAGGAATATAGCAGAATGCAGCGGCAAATAAGAAACCCAAGAACAAAAGATCTAACAGTAGAATCATGCCATAAGTAATAATCGCATAGCGATTGAGCTGTATGAAGAACTCTATAACAGTTATAACCAGGCAAATGGTCCGCGACAGCCGCGTGCGGCGTATCGATTACATAAAACCGTTCCTACTGCCCGTCTCCCGCTTGATATACGTAGGCAGAGAGTAGTAATAAGCAAAAGTCATGCGAACCCGAAGAGAGCATCCCATCTCGGTAATCCTTCTCACTACCCAAGGTTAGTTCCATTGCGATACTCGACCGAATCAATGTACACTGACAAAACCTTGAAGACAGGGATTTTCAGTAAAAAAGTTACTTGTTGAGCGAAAACGGTACTGCAAAATACTAGAATAGACCAGACAACAATGTAGGAAACTGCTTCGAAGACAATCACGGCCTTGTACAGTAACAAATCAGTTAGCAGCAAGACAGGAATCAAAGTTATCATATAACTATACGTCCATATCGGATATACCTAAAATAATAAATAATACAAAAAATAATAAGTAAATATATAATAATAAATGTTCCTAAGTTTTTCTCAGTTGTGTTTTCTAATACGAGAGGTTCCTCAACTAAGGTCTCAACCATGCCAGCAAGAACTCAAATTAAGTCGCAGTATTTAGTAATAGAGTTATGTCAAGCTTTAATTCGGGTGTGGTGCATTAGGAACGCAATGGTCGCGTCGCGGTCAGAAGGGCGTCGCGCGCGAAGGAATGTAGCAGGATGCAGCAGTAGGTAGGAAATACAAGAACAAAAGTACTAATAGTGGAATTGTGCATAAAATAATGANCGCATATCGATTGTGCTGTATGGAGAACGCTAGAGCTTAATAACGGCGAATGAGTGGTCCGCGACAGCCGCGTGCGACGAATCGATTACCCAGAATCGTTCCTAACGCCCGTCTCCCCATTCATTCTCTTCTACGTCGGTATCTTATCCCCCTAGTTATAGAACTTTTTAAGAAATCTATTAGTAAATTGATTTGATTTAGTTAAGTTTAGTTTAGAAATGGTCAATATTGTCGCCACCACATGCTTATAGCATATCCGTCAATAAATAAATAAACAAATACCTGTACCAGCTCTTGAGAAGTCGTTAGAACACTAGAACTTCAGAAGCTAAGAAGAACGATCACTTGCTTACCTCGGCATTCAGCACATGCTCAGATATGTTCAAGGTTTCATGTTCGTATTGATATAGAAATGGTTCAGTAGGTCGAAATGATTTGAGGAATCCATAGGTGCATAGTATGAACGTCGTAACCTGCCAACGCATCCTGCCAAAGTGACACTTATCAGAGATTGTCGAATAGACAGCTTTTAAAAAAACTTTTAACGACCTGTAACACGGGATTGTCTCAAATAAAAATGCAAAAAGCCTAATCTGAGTACAGATTGTACTTCAATTCCTTTTTTTCGATGTACAATTCGCCTATAAGATTTGGTAGATCATTCAAAAGGTTCCAAAATGTGTTTTCTCGATTTCTTACTGGATACAATTAGTGTGGTGGGGACATGGACAGTCATACAGATGTAAATTTCCACAAGAATACGGTCAGGACGACTTCAGGGCCTGTGAAAGTCCAGGAAGTCGCAAAACCTTCACTATTAGTTGCAGTTTTCTGATTTTCTTCGACGGACTCAACTCACGGATTCACATCTAACCATCCCACAATTCGATTTTGTTCCCCCATGACAACAAGTTGCTCCAGTGAACTTGGCGACGAAAAAGAAATCGAAATAAGTGGTGTTACGAGTACGAAAATGCTGGCTGCCGGCGATGGTACAATCGGAAGTGCTGCTCTCGCCTGTGAACCATTTGTTTGAATTAAAGCTTATCTTCCGAGGCAATGCCATGAGAAATGAGTAAAGCAGCGTGAACCTAATCATATCGAGCTCCCGGGAGTGCTATTATACTCTCTGAACCTGAAAGGACTTCGAGAATCAAAAGCATCTACCACATGTTGATGATTTTCAATCGAAATCGGGATACGATAGGTAAACTCGTTCAGCTTGGGTTGGTCGATAGAGTTCATCTAGAAATGATTCGTTCAAGAAAATCCTCTAATCTATTCGCGTCCTGGTCTTGAAACACTGACCTTGCAAACATATTCGTCTCAGGGCAGAAACGAGCATCCTCGCGAGAATACTGTATCGTTTGTATGCAGCCGATTCCTCGAAGCACGATCAACGTTCCTCTGGAGGGCCTCCTCAAGTTGCAATTCGCTTGTGTTCTGCAATTTTTGCACTATACTCGAAAAATGGATTCAGAACTGAACTCTGTCATCGTCAGATCCTCCGCTACCCCCCGAATGGGATTGGACAGGTGGGAGATGGCACGAGAACACTTATCTCAATCACATATTGTATTTAGCTCTCTCTGTTTGATCAAGTGAAAAGGTCTGCGTTACCGCTGCCTTTCATTCAACCAGAAGTTTAAAACTTTAATCTCAAAGCAACTATCCTAATCCCCTCGGTTGGGAGCACTAAAGGCGAGATTTCCCAGTTGTTTTTGGCGTGCTCTTCGCTGCACTTGGCTCCACCTCACAGGTACCGGTTATGAAGGTGTTATCAGTAAGAGACTTTTCGATACCATGGGGGTTAACCTCTGAGAATTTAATGCTAACAGTTTGTGAAGGTGAAAAACTTGCAAATCAACTGCCCAAGCTTGAAGAGAACGAATTGGATGTGTTCGCGCTACAGAAGTAAACTGGCAATCTTGACAATGCCGGCCGCTGGAACCATTCTGAGACAATTCCAAGAAATAACAGTAGTATTGCCCCCATTGAACGTCAGCTTATTTTTAGCATCGTTGCATTTCCCTTTTCCTGGATATTTCCGCTTGAGCCACAGAAATCGCAACAGTTTCTAAATGCCAAGATTTTCTGTATTCCATCCGACCCCTAGAACTCGCTTCACTGACTAAAGATTTATTTTTCGATACATAAAGGCAGAAAACAACAAATTTTTCCAAATTTGGTCATTAAACATGCTCACAAAATGCAAGAAGCGACACCGAAGTTAGGACAGTTCCTTGTGAATAGTAGCCACCTATGAATTGAGCCTGATCAACTGAGCAGAACGTTCTAGTGCACGGACATCATTCCATGGATCACTCTGCACAAAGCTTCAGAACCAACTGAATTAAGGTATCTTTACAACCATGCAATTCCTGTTTGGGCACGAACTCGTTAGGTCCATGAGCATTTTTGATAGATCCTGCACCGAATAGATATTTACCTGAAAAGTCAAAAATCACTGGCATTCTTTCATCGTAGAAACGCTTCATCCCCTAGCAAATGCAGTTGTTTTCCTGTGGGAGAAGTGATCGAAGTATACCATCACCTTTCAACTGCGATAGTTTGCTGTAGTAAGGCAAATCCGTGTTGAAGGCGACCTGATCAGTGGGGAAGTCGAGAGGAGCCTTGCTGAGTATAACCGGGTCGTTATAAGACAGGAGTTCGACTGTGCCACGTCCTGAAAGTAGAATACCGCTATGGCTACTTTCATAGTCCATGATTTGGCCCGCGAGCGAGCGAGCAATCGAGCGATTGGGGCGGCGCTTGCCCGCGGTATCGACCAAGGTTCAGATGTGAACAAGGGGCAAGCGCCGCCTCGATCGCTCCATCGGTCGCTCGCTCGCGGGCCAAATCGTGGACTATGAAAGCAGCCTATCCTCTCTAATTCGCCTCCAGTGGGAACAACCCAAACTGCCTTTATACGACACCACTACGACACCCACCTGCCACCACAGATTCGAGCTTCTGTTTAGCGTCGGCAACAGAAGTTGTGACACGTAGGAAGACCCTCGCTGAAGCGTTTTCGGCCCAGGCATTCAGGGCTTGCCCACCCTCTATGAAACCAATGTTGACGGTGGTTGACCCTGAAAATTCATAGGAGAAAATGTTTACCGGAATAATGAGACATATTGGATCACAAACCCATTTCCGGATCGCTTGGCCACTGAAAGTTGAGAATGTCGCTGAGGATTGGCACCAACATATGGATTGCGCTTTTCCCTTGCGATGGATAGCCGGAGTGACCCGCTTTACCCTTACATCGAATCTCAGCCTTAACAAAAACGTCTGATTTTTTTTTTGCAACAGACTTGACTAGATGAGTTACTCTTCAAAAAGCATCCTGAATTCCGGAAAAGTATTTCAGGAGAGCAGTGATAGGCAAAAAAAAACTCACTTTCAGAGCACCTTTTTGTATTGTAGCAAATTTCATCTCGGTAGGCTCGCCCACTACCAAGTAGTCGGGGTTCAGGCCAACAAAGTCGTTTGCCTTCTGAAATTTTAGGAACATAGTGATAGATCCTATGAAGATTAACTAATCAGGCAAGTGAGTGTTCCATAAGATCTTCCAAAAAAGCTTCAGGACAGGTAGTTCAAGATCAGAATGGTTCCGCAAATTCGTGCTAAGGATTTGGTCTTCTGAAGCAATAGCTTCGTCCCTCTGGAGCACTGTTGGGTCCGTTAGTGGATTCAGAGCTTTTTTTGTTTAAACAGCTTTTCCCAATACACAGACTGCAATCTGATCGTGAATCCTTTGGGGCATAGCGGTAAACCCACAGCTCGGTAGCTTGGCCACAGTGCTTCTACAAGTCATGGATGGTCTCAACCACACTCCACCGACTATCCTACTTACTATAAAACGCTTCGTCTGTCGTTCTGTCTTTGTTATGTATGTCTGTAACAAAATTCCTTAGCTCCTTTAGATCTGCCAGGAGAGACCGGGTCAAGCGTGGGATGAGTGGGCCATGTCCAGAAAAACTACACAAGACGGCTCCAAAACTGGGGTTCAAAGGTGGCTAGAGGTGTGCGTTGGAAAGTTAGATCGAACTGGGAAGGTCCACCCCGATGGGCGGGGCGTTCTCCAAAAATGCAATGTTTTATAAAAACGTTTTGGAAAATCATAAATCCTGTCCCCGTGGACCTAGAAAGTCCAAATTTGATGGGTGGTGCAGGCGAGGAGGTCATTTTAACACAGGAAGGAGGGGAGCTCGGCCTCAGCCGGGCGAGCAGACTGGTAGCTTCAATAAAATACTTGCTGTTTAGATACCATTTAATCTCAGAAAGTTCTCTTTCTTCAGAAAAGCTAAGAATGAGAAAATGAGCGACACGTATGTAAAGACCCGTTCGTGACCATGATTTCCAGTTTTATTAACTCTGCCTTCTGAGGGATTGAAAGAGAACCACTCTCCTAGACTAAATTATGGTTGTACATCGACCAGCTCTACTTTTCCCAAAACCACAATTGAAAGAATTGTGGAACAGCTATTTAACAGCTATCAGAATTGTTCTCACCGCCATTCCAACATGATCCGTTTCTTCACCGACGACGAATAGAAGGCCAACTTGTTCAGCAACTTTGGGATGAGTTTTTACCAACGCGTGAGCAGCTGAGATCATACACGCCATTTGTCCTCAAAAAAGATCAAGTCACTAGGGGTAGTGAGGCAGAGGAGGAGCTGTCAAATAGAACGCTCCGGCACCTTTCGCATCAGTTGTGCCACGCCCGTAAATGTTCGAGTCGTCCTGCGTTGGAGGGATATGAGGAGGAACTGTGTCGAAATGTGTGTTGAATATAATTCGAGGTGCTGAAGTGTTTCTGACTGTGTGATATGCATAAGTCAAGACCGTAATCAGGCTGAAAGCATTGCAACTCGGTGGCGAAACCTGTGAGCTCAACGGCCGCCTCTCGCCTCACCTCTACTTCCCTTGTCAACCCTACCAAAGAAAGATCTAAAGATCCGATTTGCAACGTTCAGAGTGACTACTGTCAATAGTTGATTTCGTACGTACATGCTTCACTTAAAGGCTTGCGTGTAGCCAGAATATTGAATCTCGAACTGTCATTGTCAAGGGGCTGCTTCTCGATAATCCAGCCGTTACTCTCGAGGCCTTTGACGACAACATTGGCAAGAGGGGCTACAAAAATAACTGTAAGAAATGGAGTATGAACTCTTGTATCCACAGCCGGCGAGGTTTGCCGATAAGTATCGATCTGAATATATGTAGTAAAAATAGAAAATAATAAAAATAATAAATAATGTAATAAAAATATCAAAACTTCATATGTGTCAAATGTGTGTGTCATGTACACATGTATGTATGTATGTATGTATGTATGTATGTATGTATGTATTCATATATGTATGTCAAGCGTTGCGTCCTTCAAGGATTGGAGAGGTTCTGTACTCAATCTAACGCGAGAAGGCCTTCACCAGTGAACGGAAAAGCGGACCTTCGTTGCCGGTGATTGACTCAATGTTCAGGTACGTAAACAGCAACTTCTCGACGTCGTCTAGGTCCATCTCAGCTGATGTGATGCCTCCTAAAAGGAAGGGCGCTGAACGTAGATAATCACATATGGAAGCCGGTTTAGCCATTGGAAGCGTAGAAGTTTGGAATTGACAGCATCCACAGATTTGACTCAGAAGCAACGCATCAGAGATTTGGTAGAGAATTCCCCTCATCAATGAAAAAAGCGATCAAACTGGAAAAGTAATACTGGAAAAATGTTTGGCTCTGACAGACCCTCTAAAAATTGAGCAGAACAAAAGCAAGCATAAGAGCAATAAAGAGCAGAATAAAAGTAAAATTCGTTAAAGCCTACAAGTGGAGCCCGATAATATTAGGTTGATGCATAATTATTGCGGATTTTTCGCGGCTTTTTTCTCTCGATAGAACTTGAATATTGAGTTCGGGTTTTTTCTAGAAATGATCTACTTGATTTTCTCTACAAGAATATACTCAAAAAACCATCCGCATATCCGCAAAACTAGGCTTACCTACTTCGAGAAAGATTGGAAGGTGGCACAGTCATTCCGCGATCTCAGTAACTTTTCGGCGATCGAACAATGAGCCAGAACCAACCAAGAAATGGGAACTGCCCCTAAATCTGCCATAATCACCAGCAGAAGCTTTTATGGATTATCTCGTCAACCGTTCATCGAAAAAATTTCTAGGGAATAGAAGTTACGTCGATTTGGATGACTTGGTGGCCGATGTCAAGGCGTGGATCGCCCGTAAGGACCAAAACTTCTTCGCTTTTGGGATCCGACTTACAATCAGTGGGAAGCAGTGCTTTACGTAGATGGTGAATAAGTTCCGGAGTAATTATTTGAATATGTCCTTACTTAGTATTTTTATAGTTTCTTTGAGTAAAATTTGCTGGAAAAAATCCGCAGTAATTATGCATCAACCTAATAATATGTAGATAGCACTATGAAAACAACAAGAAGTATTTGGTGAACAGAGATAGCAAATGAGAGCACAGTACGCCACTTGGTAAAAAACTACCGTAACCGAAAATGAAAAATGAAACTGACTTTGTTGGAATTGGAAAAATTCGTAGAAACCGGTTCAGTCTAGAATGTGCCAGCCGACTTCTCTACGCAGTCGATTCGCGCTCGTCCAGCTCAATACAGATTGCAGATGTTATCGAAAGTGTAAGCAAGCATGGGAACATCTTCCTCCACAAAGGTGAGGTCAGTTAATTGAATACAGAAGTAACCACGAGTAGGTACAGAGTTGATATGGATTTTTCTTTCATTAGATGACCTTTTGCAGTAGGGGAAAGATAAGAGAAATAGATAAGGGGTGTGCTGATTGCTATAAAACCCTGCCATAATAGATGTGTGAGAAGTGTCCTTCGAGCTACATTTTGAAGTTCAGAGGAACTGCTGGGCAGTCCACAATTTCTACAAAACTTACGATAAAATAAAGAGCGTCCAAGAGCAACGTGTTCAGAATGAATGCAACGGTAAACTGCCGTGAATTGCCCAAGTAGGCCGATGGATCGTTTGATGGATCGCTTGGCTGAGAGCGCCATTCTCGTAAAGATGTAACACAAGAGATTACATGATACAGAGAGTCAGAGAATAAAAGAAATGATACCGAATAAGGCACAATAAGGCATCCTTGGGGAAAGAACCAAAAAAGCGCAGGGAACCCACAGAGTTTGCCTTTGAACCTCCTAGTTTCAACTGTAAATGAAGGTATGACAACACGGGTGTGGTGCAGTAGGATCGAAATTGTCGCGTCGCGGCGAGAGGGACGCCGCGCGCGGACGAGTGTAGCAGAATGCATCCGCGTTTACCGCGCGCGCGGTGAATCGATTGCACAAAACCGTTCCTACTGCCGTTTCCCATGACACATTAGTAAGCCTTTCGACACTATTGCTGAACAACTCGGCGACCTCGCCACTAGCAAGGGTACAGTACGATAGTGACACAGTATACCCAACAGCCCTGCGGCGACACGACCGCTTGACGACACGCCCATCAGTGGGCGTCACTGCCAGGAGTTACCGATTTTAATGAACTTTGAGCCTTTCCCTAGATTTTTCTAAATTCTTTTTTGACGCGATAGTACCACAAATCGCATTCCTACTGCAATAGCTTCACTGGCTGACTTTCAAAACTAACTCCAGTGCTAATTGTGTCTTCCCTTGCTTACTGCTTACTGCCCCTGTTTATTGATTCATTGAAAATCGTTTGAGTAACAAAACTAATATGTGGAAATCTCATATCTATAGTCCCAGCAGAATTCCAAGCCCATAGAGCCTTCAACGTTGATCTAGATTCCGAAAGAACAGTAGCAGATAGTTCTCGGTCCAGGGTGAGGATTGATGGGGAACTCAAGACAGCGAAGTCGTTCGAGAGAGGAATACAGAGCCAGTTTAGGAGAACCCTTGGGAAATCATAAGCCTAGGTGAAGCTCGAAGATTGGGTGCATGGGAATTAGCCAATGCGATTTTTTTAAAGGCTAACATACAATACCAGCTGGTTTTCACTCGCAGTAAAATGGGATTCAAAAATCAGAGTGGTGCTCCGGTGAAAAGAGCTAAAATCAAAAGAGCTCTGGCTAAACGAAGCCGTCGAACAAGGATTGTTCCGACTGTCCCATAAGCAGTTGTACATATAAGGCTGAGTTCGAAAGGACATCATAATTTTGAATCAAGTATTAGTGAAAAATATGGAAACGAATGTAAAGTAAGTGGGCATCCCCACAGGACATTTTGTGTTGTTTTCCCCTTTACAGACTTTGAAAAGTTCCACTCATCATCCCTTCATAATGACAAAATGTGAATTACAAACGGAGAACGTGATCGTAGCGCTGGCTTGGCAGAGCTGATCCAGCGGACGAGTTGTCCTGGGCGGAGTGGGGCGTCCGAAATCGGCTGCTGCCGAAAAACTGCGAAGCGTGCTGGCCGTTCCGTTGTTATTGTCGGTGTCGTCGTGGTGGCTATTCACTCCCATGACCAGTCCCACGTTTTATCGCTCCTTCCTGTTCTTGCCGTCATACTTCGATCAGGGGCTCTACCTCTGTAGTTTTGTTTTTTCAGGAAGGTGATGTTTTGAAGCGCTGGTGGCAGACTTTGAGCTGCTTGAAAACATCCCAGAATGAGTTCGGAGGTAATCAAGCGGGCAAATCCCGCCGACGATTATGAACTCTTACAACGGGTTGGTTCTGGTACTTATGGTGAAGTATACAAAGCTCGTCACATAAGGTAAGTGCAATTTCAAACCACAAATCGCTCGGGTTTGATTCGAACAGAATATTCGTTCAAGCTTCATTCTTTTGAATCTTCTGGTAGCAGTTAGATGATGCTCAAGTGTGTTTTATGATCCATTAGTCAAAGTTGCAATACGTAGTGTCAGGTGTTCGTTACTTTACTGCCAGGTGCTCGTAATTGTGTCCCACATAGTTATTTGTTGAACCGAAACGTGGATTCAAATAAATCGGCTCGTAATGGGTTTAATGTGATCCATTTGTCGAGGGGAACCGTGAAGAGTTAAAGATATTTGCAGTCATAATATGCAACTACTTGATGTACCCTCTTCTTGCTCAACTTTATTATGTGTTTGAAGTACTTTTCAACAATATACAAATTCTTTTCAGGAGTGGAGAGTTGTCTGCTGTAAAAGTTGTGAAGTTGGAAGCGGGTGACAACTTCACCATCATTCAACAGGAAATTTTGATGATTCGCGAATGCTCACATCCAAATATTATTGCCTATCATGGAAGTTATTTACGCCGCGATAGATTATGGATTGTGATGGAATACTGCGGAGGAGGATCTCTTCAGGATATTTACCACAGTGCGTTCGTTTCATCAGNTTTTTTCTATTGACTTGTCATTTTTTTGTGAATGTTTGCCTCCTTTTTCTCCTAGATCTCCCAGTATGCTGTTGTTTTCTATGCGTTTTTTATTACAACTTTCGAAACCCAAGCGTTAAAATATATTTGCTTTTATTACTGTTTTTTTTTCGGTATATTCTTCATTCATAATACAAAAAAATTCTCAGCAGCAGTGAAGATATCGCAACTTGGGCGGAAATTTGCCGCTGCCGTTAAGTGGTAGTTGTGCTATCAAAGGTATAATAACATGTTGTCTATGAATTGCGACTTTGGTATAGGGCTTTTTGATTCGATTGTGCGATAGTATCGTTCGTTTTGCAATTTCCATTTTCGTTGTCATCGTTTTATTTCCTTTTAGAGGTCCATGCATTTCAGTAATGCACCCGCAATAGACTCGTCGCATGCTGTAATTTGAGCCTACCCCCAGCGCAAAAATATCCAGCCTCAGTTTGCTTGCTTGCTTTTATGGGATCATTGGCCAGTTGAGAGTAAAGAGAAGTTTCATTTGCGAAGAACCCCCTCAGTATACAAATGATTGCTCGCATTCGTGGATATGGAGAGGGAGGGATAGATGTACAAACGAGTAACCCACATCCCCGTTTTTTTTTATCTCAGGTTGTTAAATTTAACAATGAGTTGGAGCATCTGTGGTCAGGGTGATTGCATTTCTCGACCTATTTCTTCTTATATTCCAGAGGGCGAAGCCCCATGGTCGAGTTATTGGATTTTCCCGAGCAACTTTTTTTGTACAATATCAGGCCCATTATTTCCCATCGAATTTGACATGTGCTACTTCCTATTGGGGCGTGTATTTTCATTTCCACCAAAGTTACTGATCCAGCAAGACATGCTCTCTCTGAGAAAAAGAATTATATCGGCAAGCATCATCACGGTATTTCTCGGTAAATTCTGTCTGATACTATGGAATTTGTTATTTCAGTGACTGGACCACTCTCTGAGCTACAAATTGCCTTCGTCTGTCGCGAAACTCTGAAAGGACTGGATTATCTTCATAAAATGGGGAAGGTGAGGATTTAATCCACCACATTGTTAGGAATACGTACTTTCATAAATACTCATCATTTCGTTGTTCACTGTTTCATTACAAGTGATGTCTAGGTTCATCGGGATATTAAAGGAGCAAACATTCTTTTGACGCATGCAGGTGATGTGAAACTTGGTGAGTACTCCTCTCCTTTTTTTAACTGGCAGCTGTAACATTCTTTCATTTTGACAGCTGACTTTGGTGTAGCCGCTCAAATAACTGCAACAATAGGAAAGCGGAAATCCTTCATAGGGACACCTTACTGGTGAGATGAAGCATTACTTAAGACCACATTTGTCTTGCTTTCAAAACTCTTTTCACTGCTTTCATTCAAGGATGGCCCCCGAAGTGGCTTGTGTGGAAAGGCGAGGGGGCTATGGTGTTCAATGTGATGTTTGGGCAGTTGGAATTACAGCCATCGAGTTGGCGGAATGTCAACCACCTGCATTTGATCTCCATCCAATGCAGGTACTGATGTGATTACTGTAATGTGTTTTTTTGACCAATAAGGTTCTTCCAGTTGCATCTGGAAGCATTCAAATGTGTCAGACATTTGGAGCACAATTTAGTAAAATTTTAGGTTCTATATCTTATGACCAAAAACAACTATAAGCCACCCCATCTCAAGGATAAGCACCGCTGGTTCGTTATTTTATCCTCGTCCGACTTTTTTTTCCTTCACAATGTCTGAGTTTCGTGCTGTTTTTTGAGCTTCATCGCCTTTTCACTGACAGCTTTTTAGGTCACCTTTGTTTCATGACTTTGTCCGCCAGTGTCTCACAAAAAACCCGAAAAAGAGACCGACGCCAGATAAACTCTTGGCGGTAAGGTTATTGAGTTTTAAAATTTCCTTTCGTGTTTTTAAAGTTGATGTTTGTTGCTGTTCTGCTGTTGACTTTCTGCGGTATTATGGACAATTACTTGAACTTGCACTTTGTTTCTCAAAGTCTTTGTTTTGGCAGAAGATACAAGAACTGTATCTCTGCATACTACCCGGTCTTTTTGGCTACCACAAAACCCGCATTTTGTTTATTTTCTAACAAATTTATAGTTCGACAAATTCGGTTCGTTCTCCATATCGCACTGTGATTTTTTTCAGACGCACCACTTTGTTTTGGGCGCGCTCAGTTCGAGAATGACCAGAGACCTTCTCGACAAGGTGGATCGCATAGTTTTCTTTTTTGTCTGTTTGATTTTTCCCCTCCGATTTGTTTCTCATGAAGACATTATCTAACTTTACTGCTGTGTTTTGCAGGTAAATAACGGCTCTTCCGCTCGACTAATTCAGCGAAACAGTCACCAAGAAGAGGATAAGGATAGCGGTGAAGATGATGAGGTTGATTTTTGTTCAGAGTTAGAAAAAATTCGTCGTCGAGTGTTGAAGTGGGGAGGGCTGCAGCAGCTTTAATGCTCTGTATCGATTTCTGCTTGTTCCTCGATGAAAAAAAACTTCTTCAAAAAAATCTCAGTCTTATTGGTCAAAGCACGTAGCGCTTCAGGAAGAGCTACGACCACGCAGTGTACCTCCTCTTCGTGTTGGTCTTCCCGATCGTCTTGAAGGCCTTCGATTAGGTGGAGCATTGGTTCGCAGCAGTCGTGACACATCTCCTTCAACCCCCTCTTCATGTTCATTATCTTCCCATGGTGGAGCATTTCATTCTGATCGAACTCTTCCAGCGAGGGTAAGACTCAATGCATTTTGCAAAACAGCATTTCAAATACTGACATATTCTTAAAGATTTTGTCTGTATTCTTTGCTTTTGATGCATGTACAAAGTAGTATTTTCTCTCCAAATGACTATGCTGCCAACTGACCAATCCCGGAGGGATGGCAGGTTTGGTTGGTCTGGGAGGGTAGCGGTCAGGAATTAGTAATATACGCCGCGTGGTTTACAGTGTACTGAATCCATCTTTGAAGGATTTGCCTCCTCTACCTGATGTAGTGTCCGGTGATGCTTTACTTCATGGTGGAGATGGCGTTATTGAAGAAGAGTGCGGAACACTCTTAGGTAAGCCTCGTCACCCTCATATAACCTTACACTTCCACTGTCGCATTTATACTTGGTCTTCCCTTATTTGACCTTGAGTTTCAGCGTTATGCCTTGCTAGACCTAGACTGTTCTAATCACAGCATTACAGCACCTCGTCCTCCTGTTCGTACACTGCGTATAGCCCGGAATGCCATGCTCCGTTCGTCTTCGTTGGAAAACAGGGGTTCGATCCGCCTACGGCCTGGTGCTGTGGATATTGAGCGGCCAAAAACTTACTTTGGGATGCCCGTCACGCCAAAAGTGAGTGTTTTCCAGAAGAAAAAAAATAATTAGTTAATGAAATTTTCAAGGTTGTTATGGGCGCTTGCTTCACGAAGATGGTTCATGAATGTAGTCTGCGAATCAATTGTGCTGGTTCTTGGGTTCATCCAGATAGTGGTGCACAATTCCTCCTTCTTGGTTGCGAGGAAGGCATCTACGCTGTGGACACGAACAAGTTGCATGACGGAGAACTGTCTAAGGTTTTGACGATACTTAGCTAAACCTTGATTAACCTCCATACTCGTGTTTTAAGATTCATCATCGTCGCTGCTCGTGGCTTTATGTCCATCAAGATGTTCTGATGGCAATGCAAGGGCGAAACTCTTACCTGTATAGGTCAGGGTAATATTAATAAAGATTCAGAGACTCGATAATAGATTCATTCAAATGCCTCAGATTCAGGCTTAACAACGATTTTGATTCATCCTCTAATTGCAGGCACGATTTGGTAGCACTTTCACAGAAGAACCTCACCTTACGATTCAGTAAACCTATGAATAGGGTGCCGGAGAAATACATTCCTAAAATGCTTGCCGTTACTGTTCGACTACCGGAGACAAAGTAATTTGCATTAATGTTTCGTATAATACCACAAGAGATTTCCATCTAGGGGTGCCCTACAGTGTACGACATCGCATGGTGATGGTCCTCAAACTGGGGCTGTATTCTTGTGCTGTTGCGTTCCCTCCGCAGTATTACTGTTCCAATGGTAGATACAAATGGTCTTTGTTTGTTAATAGTCGAGCGTTTAGTGTAATTTTAGGTACGAGCCTTTGAATAAGTTTCTGCTCGTAAGGTCGGCTGAGCTCGATACCACTACTCGATTTCCTCTCTCTCCCTTCACGGTACTTTTCTCTTGATTGCACATCGTTCTACTATTGGGAACTCTCGTTTTTCTTCAGCTGATCAATGCACGCACAGATTTTCCCCAGTTGTGCGTAGGTGTTCAAGGAACTGATGTTATCGGCAAATATGAGTTTAGTTGGGCCAAATTCGAAGACCGAAAGGTGAGCCAATTCTTTGTATGTATTCAACTAATCATGAATATGAATATTTTTTGGAGAGTTTGTCTTTCTGCAGACCTCCATGCTTATTGCAGGGGTGGTATAGGGAAGCATTCACCACCTTCACATAACTTTTGTCGGGAACTACGAATTAAACACCTATACTAATACTAAAACTCGGCGGCAATAGGACAATGCAGATGTTGAAATATGAAATACAATATTTTGTGACGCCTCGCTGATGATCATGAAATGGTCTTATGAATACCCTTCCATTGAAAACATTCGTTCTTTTATTGTGTCTGTTGGCAGAGCGACTTTCTAAAAATTGAGCAACTTAATTAATCACTGGAATGGTACTTTTTGAAATTGTCGGCTGTTGATTATGCTGATATCACAAGGCGTTATGCACGGCCTATTTCACGTCTGCATGGATTACACCGTGTAACCCGCAGTTCTTTGAACTTTCATTTTAAATAGGTTCATTTTGCCTTTAGGTTGTAAACATAACTCCCAACGTCACCGAGTATTGTGGTAGTAAACTCGATGTCGTGTCAATGGTACAAATTGGCAAGGATTCCATTTTATTCGCTTACCGTAATAAGGTTGGTTTCATACGCTCAAAATTTTGTTTCCTCTACTTCTGAACTTAGAGTTCTCTTTTGTCTACAAGAAAAAAAAAAGAAATTTGATCAATTAAAATCAAGTTCATGCCTTATGTGCGCCAATCATGTCGTAATCGAAATAACAGAAGCGAAAGCGAGTTGGCCCCATCGCTGATAATTTAGCACAACAGAAGTGGTACATGGTTGCACCCACACTGCTCTCTGTAAACAATTGCGAAATATACCGTTTGTCCAATCCTTCGAACATTTGATTCAGGTTGTGATCACCAACTTGGAAGGTTTTGAAAAAACAAAGCTAGCTGTTTTCACATTCAACTTCATTATCGAATTCGTCCACTGTATGCCAGACTCAATTTTAGCCTTTCACTCGCATGGCGTCCAAGTGAGTAAGAGTACGGCAAGAACTGAATTTCGTCAAATGTTAATTCAAATTTTTTCCAACGAGTTAAGAGAGGTATTTTAGGGGAGGTGCTTGACAAATAATACAGTAACGCAGGACATATCGGATATGTCGAAGGTCTATCGTGTTATTGGAAATGATAGGTACGTTTTGCTTAGCAAGAGGGGTATTGGCGTCACATCCTCAACCTTGTTTTATCAGCCTCACCCTTAAAGGCACAGTTAACGATAAAATGGTTTCTGAGATATTCCACGAAGTTTTACGAACTGAGTGCGGCGCCCCTTCGGTGCACTCAGATCGTAAAACGGTTTAGGTTGGGCATCATAGTGGCTCAAGGATGTGTCGACTGTATAATACACCCAAGGCGGACCAGTTCTACGGCTTGTAGGGGTAGCACCATACACTCGTCCACTAATGTTATAAGTCTAACATATAGTCGTGACCGATGGGAAAGCAGTTTCGGAAATTTTCGGCTTAATGTATTCAGTTCTTAAAGCAATTGCAACTGCTGAAATTTCGTCCGATCACGCTTTCCATAGCATTTCCTTCATGTTCATTTCGTACAACCTCTATTCTCACTATTTGTATGCTTATTTCCGTGGAAATCAGTAGTTTGCTGGTTTACTTCGCCGACGCAATTCTCCACAATCACTGCTTTTCAACTTAAAAAAAAGAGTACATCAAAATTACGTAAACTGCACCTTTTAATTCCCGTATAACCTTTATTCTCCACGCGGTCACCCTACTCTGTTGCTAATCATAAATGATGCTTGTATATGTAAAATTCATAGCTATAAATAAATAACTTATTTGTTCCAATTTCAATTTACAGAGTGATAGTGCTGAAATCTCATCCGCTATGCAGTTGTGAAAAAAGCGACATTTGCCTTCTGACTGGTCATGAAGCTACACCTACTATATGAGCTTTCCGTAATTGTCTGTGAATATTTTTGAAGCCAACCTGATGGTATTATAATTCACATCTACGTTTATTGTCCACATCATAACTGCCGTCAGAATCAGCTTTAGCCTTGGTTCTGATGCCCATCAGGTGTTCGTAAAGTTCGCGCTTTCTAGTCGCATAGGGGAGGAATGCACTTCCTCTCCTTCTCTTAATCATGAGATGATTCACTATTTTATTGTCGTATCTCATACAATGCTTTCCATTGATCATGCTATATATCGTTTACTCTCTATCATCTTTTCTCTCGAGAAAATCATAATTGTTCCCTTTCGTCTCACTCATTCGTAGATCTCTACATAAACGCTGTCACTGCATATTAAATGTTTGGTAAGTATATACGTAACAGAAATAAAATGTAGCTCATTGCGGCCAATCTTTATAATTGTGTGTGTAGGGACAACAGAGCCACATGAGTGTGTTTGAGAGGGCCATACTGTTATGTGTCAACAGTTTCCTTCGAGCTCGGTGAGTCAAAAGTCCTCTCGCGACTTCTTTTTGTCACTAGAGATACGAACCGAACTTCGAGGTACCCTCCTCGTAGGTAGTACTGATGTCTTTCTGTCATAACCATCAACGTGTAAAACAACCACCTCCTACCTAGCACTGTGATAAACAAAGAGGCAAGTACGCCGGAGAGCGCTGTGAGAGACGAACACAAGAAGACAGTTTATTAACTTCGTTTCCAACCTGTTTCAACACTAAAGCGAAAAAAAAATCGAGAAAAAATTAAATTATTTATCAGTCAAAGCCCTTTTGGCTGACGTTGTACCACACTGTCTACGTACATACAAAGACATTCAATGATCAACACAATTAGCCAATCACCAGGTTACGCGTGGATATTGCGTTTTTATACCTCCCTAAAAGTTAACAATGTCTGAAAGGTGTTGTGGGGATTTCAAACATTCTTCTAGTATAACAAACAAACCGAATCTATTGACTTAAAACAGCATGACTCCTCGAATGCAATCACAGACAAACGACATACTATGTATACAATTAAGTGATTTATGTACAGACTACGAATTACCCTCTAGAAGGCGATTAAATGACTTCAGCATGGATCTACTAGCCTAAGATGTGCTTTTATTAAAAGAACAAAAATCTTGTGTAACTAAGCAGTGATGAGATCACAACTTGTAAAATATTCGAGAAGAGATGAAGCATTAGCGAAGATTAGTAAGAAACAAAAGATAAAGAAAAAGGGTTGGAGAAGGCAAACGATGTGTTGGCGTCTGGCCCCTACGTCATTCAGGTAATACAGTAGAGACAATGCATTGAGGGGAAGCTACAGGATCAGAGGATTTCAGTAAGCGCCCGCTATAGACTCAACTGCCACTAGAATCTAAAAAATCTGTTTACTTGGTTGAGCAGCGTGCCTATAATGACAGCAGTCGCGCGAGGACGTGACGAAGAAGCAGAAAGGCGCGGCTGCAGGGGACGACCGAATACGAACGAATGAATGAGCGAAGCCTAAAAGACATTGTCGCTTTATCGTTGCGTCAAATACTGACCGGGGAAGAATCCCAAGTCAGAGTATGAACTCTCGCCATGAAGTCCCATTTGTTTTGGTCACTGAGAGAAGCATACCACTAGATGATGGTCATGCCATTAATAGGATAGTTAGAGGGCTAGTTGTTGCATGCTCGGGATCTTGTGAGTTTCTTGCAGGTGAGTGCTACCTGAGGTCTTCATAACATGCCCGTGAGGTCAAGACCAATTGGAAGGTTTTGGTCGAGGTCATTACAAAGGAAGAAGACCTTGGATCAGCTGAACACATCCCGGATGCAGCGCGTCCGAGGTAAAGTGTAATGGTAAAGCCTATTTTCATGTCCTTCTTTAGGGATGCTAGATTTTAGCAGTTTGTGAATCTGAAGAAGAAGCATAAATATCGTCTTTCACTGCATAAAAAAGCCTGGACTGAAGAGTCGTAACTAACCAAAAACTTCACTGGATAAATTTTATGTTGAGCGAGCGTCTGGGACTTTATCCTTCCGAACCAATTTTCCGTTCGTTCCTTTTCGCATTTTCTTCACCTTCAGTCGCCAATCATAACGATTACATAACTGATGACCGGATGTTTCGTTAAAAATAGTTTTAGATAGCACTCACAAGCAGAAAAACCTGTGTGCCAACATCTACAAATCGGGGGAAAAGTCTAACAGCAGAACAGCAGCGGTGAATTGATGTTCGACTGCTTTCTAGAAGCCACAAAAAAGCAAAAATAAAGCACAGCAAAGGATGCAAACTTTCGGCGCCAATCCTGCAGGTCTGCTCTAGACTACCTCTATATGAGAACCGCACGAAATTTCTAAAAAGTATCCGAATCATCGTCCACCATTTAAGGCCGTAACATACTCTCAAAATAAATAGCCCTTCTATCCACGCTTTGCGCACGATAGGATCAACTATGCTTCTATCCCCGGAGGGCACCACAAACAGAACAAGATGGCAGTGAATTGACGCGATCTGACTAGCGGGAAGAACTGCTACAAATAATTATCAGTACAAGTTAAAAAGGAGAACAAGTACTTCGCATCAGGTAGGAGGTAGATGGCTATTTGATCACTGAAGTAAAGCAATAGAAACCATCACATGGATCCGTGCAAAGAAAACTAGAATCTCTGAGCAGAATGAAGCTAGTTCAAACTTCTTTAAGTCAACATGTTAGGAATAGATGGTAGTCCGTAATAAATAGTATAATGGAACACTCAATCCGCTACACAGGGGTATTAGAAGGGGTAACACTGGAACGCTTCCGTCGCCTATCCAAAGTATTTCGTAGCTCCTCCTTCTCTCGTCGCAGGACTTCTCGCACCATGCCACGAACAACGCTAGACACAGCCAGTTGTTCCGACTCTTCCGCCACCTCTTCAGCAATATTCACCATTCTAAACCTGTTCTAATAATTACGCTACCTAACATGCTACATTACACCTAAGAATTTCTCAAAGGGATCCAGGCTTGCTAAAGGGTGTTCATTTACACGACCGGATTATTACACGGTGGAGGGTCCAAATCGATTCCACCCTTACCAACTATGATTGCTTTTGCTTGGCATACGGTGTATCTTTTCGGCACCACATAAGTACCTCTAATTCATTCGATCCCATGCTAATCTTAAAAGATATTCCAACATTTTTCACAGCACGCTTCTGAGCCACATAGAGTAAAGTCGAGGCAAAAACATAAGAGCGCCAATCTTTTTTTGAAATCAGGAGATTGCTGACAAATGCAGCAGAACAAAAAAAATCTCAGCTATCTAGAAAAGAAAATACAATGCGCAATTCCAAACACTAATCAACCACCCACTTATTGACTTCACATCGAAAGAGAAATTCGGCACGTACCACATCAAATTTGTTGAGATTTCATCACACCCATAACGTTTAGTGAGAAGAAAACCATTGAAACCGATAGGTTTTTGAAGTTCGAACCAAAACAACACCATATGCAGCAGCTGTGTGAACTAACCTGGAGGGTGTAGTAGAGCTCTTAGATGGAGTGGTCTCTTCTGGAGTGCCACTCCTAACAGAAATGAGCTCTCCAGCCGTAAATGATGTGGTTTGTAACAAAAGTGAACGCTTACGCTCGATTCGCGACGTTTCCTCATAAACCTGCAAGTACTTCAAGAGATTAAGTTTTTTCTTAGTTAACTATTTTTGAAAAAAATGGATCTTCTAAGTTATGTCAGTATGCACGTACTCGGTTGGATATAAACTTATTGAGATAGTCGGATAGTTATGTTCAATATTGGTGTAAATGATTACTGGACCTCAGCACTTACAAAGAGTGGTCCCTCACAAGTTTAGAACCACTAGCACTTGAGTTTAGAGCATTTTTCTTTACATAAATGGGAATGAAAGCGTCGTTGAGCCAACCAACACTTCCATGGATCGTTTTTAGGCGCTTGGTCAACCTTCAATACAACATGGAAGAATAGCTCACCACGTAATTGACGAGATCAGCAATCACGATGCGCACATCCCTCATTAGACTCTCTGAAGGAACTTGGCAGTGTAGAGAATTTTGTTGCGAATCCTCGTTCATATTTGCTTCTTCAGTACTAATATTGGTACCCGAATTTGGACAGTATGGTTTCTCCGAGTCTGCTGCAGAAGCATGGGATGAATCTTGACTGCACTTGATATCGGCGTGAGCTGCGCTAGACTGATTCGTAGAACAGCCACCTTCCATAGTTTCGCTCTTACTATCACTTGCTGAAATACTTTATTTAGTATAAACTAATTAACAGAAAATAGCGGCAAAGGCTCACCGGTTGTTGTAGAGGTCGGCCAGGAATTCACTGAATCAGAACTCTTCATAACTGGGGCCGAGTGTGGGGCTTCACTCGACTCATTTGTTCCAGGTGTTCCTATAGATAAGGTTTTCGGGCGAAGGAGGCTTTCTTGAACTGGAGCACTCTGAAAAGAGCCAAATTGAAAAGATAAAACATGGCGCTATTTATTAATAGAACGCAAGAGAGGCTCACTAAATATTTACCCAGAAGCATACAAACTCACAGATGTGTTGGGTTTTGAAATGTCGAACGTTGAAGAAGATGGCGAAACAGAGAAGCGACGGAGTTTTCGTACGACTGGCTTTGCGGTCATACTAGCCTGCGGAATTGCAGGTAACGATCCCCATTCAGCTAAAAAAAATGCCTGTCATGTTTAAAATATATTAAACACACTTGTGAACACATAACCACTACAAGAATGTAAAACAAAATAAATTAACAATATGTCCATTTATCAAAACATACTCAATCCTAGCGTGTTATGAGAAGAAGTGGAACATTTCTTGATGGTTTTTGTAGAATCTGTATTGGTTTCATCTAGAGAATGGGTTGAGCCTCCGAGAACTCGTAAACGCTCCTTGAAAGAAAACTACTGACTGTCAAAGGGTAAACAAACTGAGTAAGAAAGTATCGCTCGTGTAAATGAAGGTATTCTTACATGAATATCAGTGACAGTTTCACTGCAGGTCAATGACGAACTCCTCATAAACTTCCCCTTCGCCACTGATGATGATCCTCCGTTCGAAGAGGAAGGTTGACAATGTTTTAAGCGGGGGCATGTAGATACAGGGTATCTTACGGTGCTTAATTTTTTTTTTGTAATTACCTCATTATTGGTATTAATCTCATTGTATTTGGTGCTTAACCCACTTATTTGTACTCACTACTACTCACTCACTACTTGTATTCGTACTCACTTGTATATCTGTCTCCAATCAATATGTTTCGCAACCACATATCCTCTGTTAGTCAGATCCATCTTAGGATGTATTTCGAAACTGTTACTGTACCTTACAGTACTGCCACTATATAAGGCGGTGGATCCGCCCATATCGCTCATATCCGGCTTCTTCTAACTGCCGAGTGGCAGCTCTTCTTTTTTTCTATTTGTTATTCAGTAATAAAGGCTCTCTATTTGGATATCATTCCCAGACAATCCATCGGCTGAAACCTAGCAGTACGCGACACACGCTACGCGACATAGGAGCCGAACCAAAGGAGTCAACTGGATAACCGCCAAAAGCCAGAGTTCTGGAAGGCGAGAACCTGCCACTTATACAAGGCAGTGAAAAGCACTTTGAGGATAGGAGGTGCGTTCCGATCAGCGGAAGCATCTTAGTCTCCTTATAAGTGCAGAGAGATAGTCTCGAGGGGAACCTCGAAACTATTGATCGGTGGCCTATCGGTGCTCGACAGAGTAGTCGAACCGAGG